AACCAAATTAAATTCCAAAAAAACTGGAGATTTTAATTTGGGACTGATTTTTTTTTTTTTTTTTTTTTTTTTTTTTTTGAGACAGGATCTCACTATTTAGCCCTAGCTAGCCTAGAACTCCTTATGTAGACCAAGCTGGCCTCAAACTCACAGAGATCTGCCCACCTCTACCTCCTGAGTGCTGAAATTTAAGAGGTGCACCAAGCCTAGTTTGCCCCACTGATTTTGAGGGGGGATCTTTTTTGAGACAGGGTCTCCCCTGGGGAGGGGAGCTTTGCTCACTGGCAAAAAAAAAAGGCAAAAAAATTAAAATAAAATAAAAATGAAGACCGGTGTGGTGGCGCACGCCTTTAATCCCAGCACTTGGGAGGCAGAGGCAGGCAGATCTCCTTGAGTTCAAGGCCAGCCTGGTCTACATAGTGAGTTCCAGGACAGCTGGGGCTACAGGGAGACCCTGTCTCAAAAAGACCAAAAATAAAAAAATAAAAATAAATAAATAAGTAAAAATGAAAAGGCTATGAAGTCCAGGCATATTGGCGCATGTCTTTAATCCAAATGCTTGGGAAGCAGGTGCAGGCAGATCTCTGTTTGAGGCCAACCTGATCTACACAGCGAGTTCTAGGCTAGCCAGGGCTACAGGGAGACCCTGTCTTATACAAAATAATATAAAGTCTGTGAAGAAGACAGTAGTTTCAAGGTGCTGTTACCTGTCTGACCTCTTTTTTTTTTTTTTTTTTTTTTTTTTACCTCTTCCTCTCTCACAGGCCCTCAGCCACAAATACGGTGGACACAGCAGCCACGTGACGAACGTGGCCTTCCTGTGGGATGACAGCATGGCCCTGACCACTGGGGGCAAAGACACAAGTGTGCTGCAGTGGCGGGTGGTCTGAAGCAGTGGTCTGGGGGACACGGGCCAGGGTGGAGGCCCACGGGGGGCTGGAGTTCTATTTTCGGGAGATGTCTATTATGGAGTAGAGTAATATATACCCAGAGTATGTCTATAGCAGAGGACTGCTGGGCGGGAGGGGATGACAGATAGAAGTCTTTATTTATCTGGGAGGGAAGAGGGGTCACCATACCTTGGGGAGCCATTGGTGTTTGCTTTGGGGTGTTTTTTTTAAGTTTATTCTTTTATATCATCCAGAAATACAGACTTGTGCACTGACCTGTCTGCAGTCTGGTCTGTATATTTGGTGTGTGCAAGGTTTAAAGTGACTGTGTGTATGTGTATGTGTATATATATCTTTGAGTGTGTCTGTATATGTGTATCTATGTGTGTATGAGTATGTATGTGCCTGTGTGTGTATGTGTATATATGTGTCTGAATGTGTGTGTATGTGTTTATATGTGTCTGAGTGTGTGTGTATGTGTATATGAGTATGTGTGTGTTGGTGTGTATATGTGTGTCTGTGTTTGTATATATGTCTATGTGTATTTGTGTGTATGTGTGAGTATATGTCTCTATCTGTGTGTGTGTCTGTGAGTGTGTGTATGTGTACATATGTGTCTGAGTGTGTGTATATGTGTATATGAGTATGTGTATGTGTGTTGGTGTGTATATGTGTGTGTCTGTGTTTGTATATATGTCTATGTGTATTTGTGTGTATATGTAAGTGTATGTCTCTGTATCTGTGTGAGTGTGTCTGTGAATGTGTATATGTGTCTATATATGTGACTATGTATATAGGTATCTGTATGTGTATGCATGTGAATGTGTATGTGTGTTTCTGTATGTGTGTATATGTGTATGAGTATGTGTCTGTGTGAGTGTGTGTGTAATGAAGAGCTGTGAGTATCTGGGCCTGTATTGGATGCAATTGACAAAAATCTCTTTTTGGATTTTTTTTTTTTTTTTGCATTTTTTTGGGGGTGGAGCTGTGCAGTGATGTGCATGCGGTCAGAGGACAACTTGCTGGAGTCTGTTCTCTCCTTTCACTGTGTGGGCTCCAGGGATTGAATTCAGATCATCAGGCTTGGTGGCAAGTGCCTTTATCCACCAAGTGAACATGCTTCACATTTGTGTTACTGTGTGCATGCCTATGTGTGTGCATTTGTGTGGAGAACAGATGTCAGTGTTGAATGTCTTCCTCAGTCGATTTCCACTCTATTTTCTGAAACGGTGTTCTAGTTCGTTTCTCCATTGCTGTGACAAAACACTCTGACCAGTACCACCTTGGGGAGGAAAGGGTTTATTTGGCTTACATCTCCCAGGTCACAGTTCATCAGGGAGCCCAAGGTAGGAACTCAGGGCAGGAACCTGGAGGCGGGAGCTAGAACACAAGTCATGGAGGAACACTGCTTCCTGGCTTGCTCCCCTGACCTGTGCTCAATCTTCTCAGGGGTGACACCACCCACAGTGGGCTGGGCCCTCCCACATCACTCAACAACCAAGAAAATGCCCCCCACACAGGGCCACAGGCCAGTTCAATGGAGGCAGTTACCCATTTGAGGCTCCCTTCACCCAGATGTGTCCAGTTGATGACTAAAGCTATCCAGCACACAGGGTCTCCCACTGTACTTGGAACTCACCAAATTGGCTACACTGGCTGGCCAGGAACCCCTAAGGATCCTTGCAATTCTACCTCCCTGCACTGAGATTACAGACCTGTGCTGCCATGCCTGAGTTTTGTGTGGGTATGGGGGATCGAACCCGGGTCTTCATGCTTGCATGGCAAACATTTTATCCCAAGCTTCTAGAAATTAACTTTATTTTTTGAAACAGGTGCTCATGTAGCCCAGGCTTGCCGTAAACTGTGTATCTGAGGATGACCTTGAACTTCTGATCCTCCCACCTCCATGTTCCAGGCAAGCATTTATATGCCTGGTTTATGCCCTGCTGGGGATGGCTTTGTGAGACTAGGCAAGTGCAACAGCTATCTGAACTAGAGATCCCACCCCAGCAGAAATCATCTCTAAAATTGGGCCCAAGGAAGGTGTGGTTAGCCCACATACCCGAACAAGGAGAGGCAAGTTCCCTGGCAGTTTCACTGTGTGGCCAGCATTTCTCTCCAGGAGTAGCATTCTGTGTGCAACAGATCTGTCACTCAGTAGATCCAAAGCACTTATAGTTCCCAAAGTGCAAAAAATTCCAGAGAAGGTCTGTGATTGACCCATCTTTCCATCAATCTACTTGACCTGCAGAGTGCTCTACTGTGATTGGCTATATGGGAACTAAACCTGGAACCTTAAGATAACCAGGGAGGTGGGATTCTGTAAAAGCAAGGAAGTCTCCAAGGAAGGTGGGAGGGAACAGGGAATATGCCGTTTGTTTATTTATTTATTTATTTATTTATTTATTTTTATTTTATTTATTTTATTTTATTTTGAGACAGGGTCTCCTTGTAGCCCTGGCTGGCACAGAACTCTCTATGTAGATCAGGATGGCATTGATCTCACAGAGATCTACCTGCCTCTGCCTCCCAAGTGTTAGGATTAAAGGCAAGTAGCCACCGTGGTGGACTGTTGGGTTTTTAATTTTTAAAAATTTGATGTGAGCCAGGTATAGTGGCACATGCCTTTAATCCCAGCACTTGGGAGGCAGAGTCAGGTGGATCTTTGTGAGATCGAGGCCAGCCTGGTCTACATAGTGAGTTCCAGAACAGCTGCGGCTCCAGAGAGACCCTGTCTCAAAAAGACCAAGAAAAAAAATTTGATGTGAGGAGTATTTGCCTGTGTTTGTGGAAGTGCCCCACATATGAGCAGTGCAGAAGAGGCTGTCAGATCCCCTGGAACTGGAGTTACAGATGGGTGTTAGCAGCCATGTGCATGCTGGGAACTGAACCCTAGTCCTCTGCAAGAGCAGCCAGTGCTCTTATCCACTGAGCCATCTCTCTAACCTTGATTTTTGAAACAGGGTCTCATGTAGCCCATGGAACTGGCTAGGGTGACCAAGAATGACTTTGAACCCTTGATCTTCCTGCCTCTACCTCCCTTGTACTGTGATGACAGGTCTGCACCATTGGGAAGGGCTCTACTTTATTGAAACAGTCTCACTCAATAGCCCAGGCTGGTCTTGAACTCACAGCAATCCTTCTGCCTCTAGAGTGCTGGCATATGGACATGTACCACCATGCCTGACTTCATTTTGGTTTTTTTCTTTCAATTTATTTCTATTTTATGTGTGTGAGTGTTTTTGCCTGTGTGTATGTAAGTGTACCACCTGTGTGTGATGCCTGTGGAGGCCAGAAGAGGGTGTCAGTTCCCCTGGAACTGGTGTTACAGATGGTTATAAGCAGCCATGTGGGTTCTGGGAGCCAAATAGTGTTTTTAATTACTGAACCATCTCTCCAGCTCCTCATTTTGTATTTTAAACCAGAAGTTGATAAACTTTCTGCAGAGAGCCAGACAGTGACTATTTTTGCTTTGGGAGCTGCCCTGGTCTCTCTCACCACTAACTCTGACACGGTGGGAAACAAGTGAGGGCCGCTTGTTTGTATGGATGAGCTGGGCTCTATCCCAACAGAACTATTTATGGATGGTGAAATTTGAATTTCTCATCATTTTATGTCCTGGAATACTAATGTTTTCATTTCTTTGAGCTATTTTAAAATATCAAACACTCTGGGTGCGGTGGTACACGCCTTGGGAGGGGAAAACTGGAGGATCAGGAGCTCAAGGTCAGCCTTGGCTTCATAGTGAGATTGAGGCCAGCCTGTGCTACATGGAGCCCTGTCTAAAACACAAGAAAAGGGGCCTGGAGAGATGGCTCAGTGGTAAGAACACTGATTGTTCTTGCAGAAGATCTGGGTTTGAATTCCAGCACCCACATGGCAGCTAACAACTGTCTGTAGTTCCAGGGAATCCCACAGCCTCTTCTGATCTTTACAGGCACTGCATGACACGGGTGCACTTACCAACATGCAGGCAATACACACATACACATAAAATAAAAATAATAAATAAAATATTAAACACACACACACACACACACACAAGAAAGAAGGGACTTTCTAGAACTAGAAAGGAGAAAACAACAAAGCAAGGATCGGCAAGATGGGTCAGTGGGTCAAGGTGCTTGCCCTTAAGCCTGACAACCTGAGGTACCTGGCACTCACATGGTGCAAGGAGAGAACTGAACCCTGCAGGTTGTCTTCTGACCCCCACATGTGCACTGCAGTACAGGCGTGTGAGCACACACAATAAACAAGGAAACAAAAATAAAGAAGAAATTATTTTTTTATCTTTTTTCATATTTTATTTATTATTTTTATTTTATGTATATGTCTGTATTGCCTGCTTGCAAGTAAGTGCACCTGTGTCATGCAATACCCATGGAGGACAGAAGAGGCTGTTGGATCCCCTGAAACTGGAGTTACAGACAGTTGTTAGCTGCCATGTGGGTGCTGAGATTAGAACCTGGGTCTTCTGCAAGAACAACCAGTGTTCTTAACCACTGAGCCATCTCTCCAGCCCCCAAGAAATTATTTTTAAAAAGAATAGAGGGGTAGATATGGTGGCAAATACCTTTAAGCCCAGCACATCGGAGGCAGAGGCGGGTGGATCTCTGAGTTTGAGGCCAGCCTGGTCTGCATTAGCGAATCCAGGCTGGTTGCGGCTACAGGGAGACCTTGTCTCAAAAAGACCAAATCAAAAATAAATAAATAAATGAATCAAACAACCCAGCTAGCCATAACTTCATTCACTAGCAGGCCTCCAGGTCAGGGAATTGGGGCTTGAGGAAGTGTGTGTGTGTGTGTGTGTGTGTGTGTCTGTGTAAAGGGATACATGTGCACATGTACATGTATGTGTGTGCTGTACATATGGAGGCCAGAGAGTCCGTGTTGGGTGTCTTCATTTGCTGCTCTCTGCATTATTTTTTTGAGACAGCCTCTCACTGAACCTAGATTCAGCTACACTCCTGCCAAGCAAGCTGAAGAGAGCCCTCCTGCTCCCCCTTCCCAGCACTAGGCCCTGCTATTCACATGGGTGCTGGGGGTCTGAACTCAGGTCCTCATGCTGTGTAGCAAGCACTTTACCAACTGAGCCTTCTCTCCAGAACCCTTGAAGAGCTTGAACTTCAATCTGTTTCAGATAAGACATACTCAACTATTTTACATGTACTCTAATATTCATTCAACTGTTTGTTGAGTTTCTGCACTGGGCTAGGTAGGATATGGAATGGAAGTGACCAGAGCAATCCTGGCCCTACCCTTTCAGGCCTCAAAGTCAGTAAAAGAGACACAGATCTGTCCTCAACAGGATGATCAAGGCTGGGACAGGGTTCAGCAGGTGACTGGAACCCCAAGAGGATTTTGAGTTTATAGGGAGGAGGGAGACAGCAGCATCAGAATTTCAACCTGGGACAGTCCCCTGTCTTCACTGGGCTCTTTTTTGTTTGTTTGTTTGTTTTGAGAGAGGGTCTCCCTGTATCCCCAACTGGCCTCACAGAGATCTGCCTGCCTCTGCCTCCCAACTGGCTCCTTTTTTTTTTTTATATGTCAGTGTTGAGGTCTGCCTGCTGGCTCTTACAGGAAGCCCTCCCTTGATGACACCGGTCTGCCTCTGACCACTCAGTACTGTCTGAGGACAGGTCTGCCTCCCCACTGAGCTGTGCCATCCCACCAGGCCAGAGCTGGGGCTGTCCTGTGTCCTAAAATATACACACAGACGCACGCACACACAAATAGAAATATAGATGTTGATATTGATATTTACCTGCATGAATCTAAGTGCACCATATGCATACAGTGCCCACAGAGGCCAGAAGAAGGTGTGGGATCAACTGGAACTGGAGTTACTGAAGGTTGTGAGTCATTGTAGGCATGCTAGGAACCAAACCTTGGTCCTCTGCAAGAGCAGCCATTACTCTTAACCACTGAGCCATCTCTCCAGCCCAGAATTCATATATTCATTTGACCAATGTATAAGGAGCATTTTAATCTTTGTGAGGCTTTGAACTCTGTTTTCAGAGTTAATATTGGGTTGTTTTCCTCGATGAACCTCCAAATTATTTTTAGTGTGTGTATGATGTGGGGAGGGACAGTGTACCACAGGACATGTGTGCAGGTCATAGGACCACTTTATGGAGTTGGTGTATTGACTGTATGTAGGTTATGTGCACGTGAGTCATGCAATGCTTATGGAGATTAGAAAAGGGCATCAGATCCCCTGGAACTGGAGTTACAGATGGTTGTAGCCGCCAACCATCTGGGTGCTGAGAACTGAACCCAGGTCCTCTGCAAGAGCAGCCAGTACTCAACCACTGAGCCATCACTCCAGCCCCTTTTTTGGTCTTTTTGAGATGAGGGTGGGGGTGGGTGGGGGGGTGTTCCTGTAGCCCAGCTGGCCCAGAACTTTGTACACCAGGTTGGCTTTGATCTCACAGAGATAGATCCGCCTGCCTCTGCTTCCTGAATGCTGGGATTAAAGGCATGCGCCACCATACCCAGCCCCTCTCCTAGGTTTGAGACAGGGTCTCCTGCTAGCTGCGGCTGGTCTGGAACTCACTATGTAGACCAGACTGTCCTTGAACTCTCAGAGATCCACCTGCCTCTGTCTTCTAGGTTTTTAAAGGCCTGTTTTCTGCCACTCTTGGATGAAAGCCTTTCCTGTCCCCACTGTACTGACTATTCCACACTTCTGGAAAAGTGACCTGGGCTCTTTGGAAACTGAGCTTTACCTTGGGGGGCTCTTGGCACTCTGTCGCCCCCTCGTGGCCATCCTCCAACCTCCTCGGAAAAAACCTCCTTTGAAAAGCCCACTGACAATTGCTGGTGCCTCTCCACGTATGGCCTCAGGCTCAGTTTTGTATTATGTCCCTCTCAGCTGGGCGGTGAGAGATTGCCCTGCCTGTGGCTCTATCCATGAGTGTCAAGGTAAATGATCCCTGAGGAACAACAGCAGAGCGTGCCTCCACATGTATGTGTACAGTGGCACACCCTCACATGTGTATGTGCACCTGGCACACAGGCACCTGATCATACACACACAAAAGAAAAGAAAGGAAAGAAAGAAAAGTAAAGATCAGCAAGGTTTCTAGGTGTTGTCTAAGGGTGTGTTGCCTGAAAATGGGTGGAAAATAGCTCTGGGAGTTGGAAGTATCCTGCTGGGGTTGAGTGTTTAGTCAGGTGGGTGTACTAATTTCTTAGGGATCCTTATAATCTTCCACTGAGGGCTGGAAACTTTCATTTTAACTGAAAATTAGACAGCCAGATGTGATGGTGTAGACTTATATCTCAAGAGTCAAGGGAATGAGGTAGGAGGATCAAGAGTTCCAAGTCAGTCAGGCCTCAGAGTGAGACATGTCCCAAACATAGGGGCTGGGGTGCACTTAGTGGTAAAGTCCCTGCTAGAATCCCCCAGTGAGGGGCTGGGGTGTGGCTCAGTGATAGAGCCCCTGCCTAGAATCCCCCAGTGAGGGGCTGGGGTGTAGCTCAGTGGTAGAGTACCTGCCTAGAATCCCCCAGGGCGGGGCTGGGATGTGGCTCAGCTACAGCTCTTGGTTAGTTTGTAGAAGGCCATTGGTTCCATCTCCTGTACTACCTAAAATAAAGCAAATAACCAATTCAAGAAGAATTTGTAAATCATCATTCATTGCTACCATTTTTGAGGTCTGTTTGCCAGTTCTATCCTAAGTCCTTTGACACGGAATTTTCACAGAATGAATCTCAGGACTGATTTACACAGGCCTTGATTAGGCAAATGTGGTTTTTAGAGCCCTTACCTTTTATTCATGCAAACAATGGGTATTTCACACCTTCACTTTCAGCCACCCTCTAGGCAGCAGACTCACAACAGTAAACAGCCCCTGACTTAGGAAAGGCACTCCTCCTAAGGGCGAGGCCAATGATGAGGAAAAGCGTGAAAAAGTACAATACATAGAAAATTAGATGGTGACGTGTTCTAGGGGAGGAAGTCAAGCCACTCTAGGGACAGACTGGGGTGTGTTGGGCAGCACTGTGCAACCATTTGTTTGTTTTTTTGGTCTTTTTGAGACAGGGTCTCCCTGTAGCCTCAGTGGGCCTGGAACTCAGTATGAGGACCAGGTTGGCCTCCACAGAGATCTGCCTGCCTCACGAGGGAAGGGGAACCTTTTTAAAAACAATCTCATTGTGCAGCCTAGGCTGGTCTCAGACTCACAGCTATACTTCAATCCTGTCTCACAGGAGCTGAAATTAATACAGGTGTGTACCAAGTCCAGGCTCAGGAGAAACTGGAGGCAGAGGACAGTACTTGTCTGAAGTCTGGCCCACAAGATTCTTACTTGTAGCCCTGATCTTTGCAGTGGTACTTAACAGATGCCCTTTAATATTTTTTTTACATTTATTTATTTATTGGGTGTGTGTGTGCATGGCACTGTTTGGTGTGGAGATCAGAGGACAACTTTCTGGAGTCGGTTCTCTCCTTTCTGGGACTAGAACTCAGGGCACCAGGTTTGACTGCAAGCTCCTTGACTGGCTGAGCCATCTTACAACCCTTTAACAGATCTCCGCCCCACCCCGCCCCACCCCGCCCTTGTTCTCAATCTCCTAGGGGGACAGGCAGAAGTTAGTGCCTGAGGGCAGGAGGACGGGAGGGGGGTGGCGGTCTCCAATGAACCAAATATTAGTGAAGGAGGGTCCCAGGCAAATGAGGGCTTAAGTTGGAGAGGATAAGAAAGGGGTTAATGGTCCCCAACTTTGGACTCTGAAGCATCAGGTGAGATTTCCAGTCAGTTTCCTAGCAGGATGGGGACTTAGTGGGGTGCAGGAGAGCGGCAGAGGAGGGGTTAACGGGGGCGGGCCCGGCCGGGGCGGGGCCTGGGCTCCGACTCCAGCCTGGGGCCAGGGGTTGTCACTGCTGTCCTGCCCCGGGGGGGGCGCCCGCCGGGTCCTCGTACGGTGCAGAGCCAGGACCAGGTCGCAGCCGACGGAGAAACCAGCTCGCCCTGGCCAGCTGCGGAGCAGGTGGGTGCTGACCCTCCATCCCCATTCCCTCCCGCTGTCGGCCAGACCTCTGGGTAGCCGGGTCACAGCCCTCGGTACCTGCGGATTCCCTTCCCCACTCAGCTGCCTCAGTCTCCCAGCGCCGTTCTCTCCAGCTCTGCAGAGCCCCGCACACCATTTCTGCATCTCTCCCCATCCCTACCTGGGGTCCCTGGGATCCCCTGCCTCTCTGGATCTCTTCTCTCCACCCAACTCCTACCATCATCCCTCTCCTTATTTCCCTCCCTCCCCCACACCATGGCCCCTTGCATGCCCCTCTCTCCTCTCCTCTCCTCTCCCCTCCTCTCCTCTCCTCTCCTCTCCTCTCTCATTTTTTGAAACACGGTCGTACTGTGCAGATTAGGCTGGCTTCGAACTTCCTATGAAGCCCAGGCTGGCCTCAAATTCACTGCAATCTTCCTGTTTTAGCCTCCTGGAGTGTGCTGGGATTATAGGAGTGGGCCACCATGCCCGACCTTCCCCCCCCCACCGGATTTTGAGAGAGTGTCTGGCTATACAGCCTAGGCTGTCCTTGAACTCACCATCTTCCTGCCTCCCTCCGGTGTGCTGATATTACAGGTGTTGGCCCATAACCACCAGGCTCCAGTTATTTTATCTCTGGGGGTCCTTTCTACCTCCATCCCTGGCTGGCTTGGCCTGTCTGATGTGGGATTCATTCTATTTGGATGGCTGCACTTTCTCTCTCTCTCTCTCTCTCTCTCTCTCTCTCTCTCTCCTCTCTCACCCTGATGGGGCGCCTTCAGCCCCATTGTCATCTCCCTCTAAATTCTGAGACTTCTGAGACTTCTCAGAGCTGTGGAGCTGTTTAGGATTGGCTTAGGGGACAGTGGGATTGTGATGCAAGGCAAGTACACTCTGAATGACACTCTGACCCATGTACCCCTTTGGTAGTCATCCCTGGATTTTGAGGTACCACCACCCCACCCTCCTGTTTCAGGAATTCCTGGCTGGGGGGTGGACTTCCTCCCCCACTTCCTCTGTCCCAGGATTTGGCTGGGGCTCTCTTAACTCCTTCCTGCTTTGTCGCACTCCTCTCCCCTAGAGCTGGAACCTCGCACCCCACAACCAGCTGGAGGGGACAGTTCTAGAATTCCTAAAGCTGCGCGCGCGCGCGCGTGCGTGCGTGCGTGCGTGTGTGTGTGTGTGTGTGTGTATGCATGCGTGTGCGTGTGTGTGTGTATGCGTGCGTGTGCGTGTGTGTGTCCATCCTCGGCTGCATATGCATTGAGGGATTTGTTTGGGTGGCACAGATGGAAAAGCGGGGAACACCTCAGTACCCTTTTTTGGAGTCCCCCAAACAGCTGTAACCACACCCAAAACTGACTAGCTCTGTCTCTGAGGTTGAATGGTAGTTGACTTCAGGTTTGGTGTGAACATAGGGAGGAGCATGGGGGTGGGGCTCCCAGAACTCCAGGAATCATAGCATCAGGAGCCCTGGAGCCTGGCTTGGTGGCACATACCTGTTATCCCAGCACTTGGGAAATGGAGGCAGGAAGATCAGGTGTTTAAGGCCAGCCTGGACTACATGACACCCTGCCTCAAAAGTAAAAGCTCTTGCACTTGGGAGGCAGAGGCAGGCAGATCTCTGTGAGTTCGAGGCCAGCCTGGTCCACATAGTGAGTTCCAGGTCAGCTGGGGCTACTACAGTGAGACCCTGTCTCAAAAAGACCAAAAAAAAAAAAACAAAAAAACAAAAAGTAAAAGCTCTTATACTGGCAAATGTCTGTAATCCCAACACTTGGGAGGCTGAGACATGAGGATCTCGAATTGGAGGCAGACTGGGCTGCATAGTGAGACCCTGGACTGGAAGAACCCAGGATGTTAAAGCCTCTGAGGGGAGCACAGAAAACTTCAGCTCCATCATCCAACCAGAGGCCCTCAGGATGTTCCAAGCCTTCACTCCAAGATCAGCATTGAAATCTTGATGGTTTGCTGTATTCATCGCTGTGTGCTTCCAAGGGCCTGTGGGAGCCATTTGGGTCAAGCTCCTCCCATTTCACGAGTAGGGAAACTGAGGCACCAGAGCTTCTGGTGCTCACAGTGAATCATTGTCAGCCTGGGGTGTTGAGACTCTCATCTGGCCGCAGCCCATATCAGGAGACCCAGCTTCCCTTGACCATATCCAGAGACCTGAATTCTGCCACCACTAAGTCAGATTAATCTGGAGAATAAGGTCTTTTAAGTGAGTGGGGAGCGATGCCAGGGTGAGTGTGATGGCTGGAGGCCAGAGGAAGGGTTCCCCAGTGCTGGGAGCAAAAGATTTCTAACAGCAAAAGATTTCTAACAGTGCTGGGAGAAAAGGACTGGAAGTGGCCCCAGGTGTGGGGGGGAGCTATCAGAGAGAGGGGTGGAGAAGGGAATTAGTTACCCCCCCATCCCTGACCACCTCCCCTCCATCTCCTGACCCTCCCCACAAAGCCCACTGTTCCCTCAGGACAGGGCCTATAATTTGGTTTGTGTCTAGACAAATAATAACTCAGCTGGTGTGAACAGGGAGGGACGACGGCAAGACCGCTGAGCAAGGGGTAGGAAGCAGCCTGGGTTCCTAGGGTTCCCCCAACTCAGTGGGGAGAATATCATTTGGAGGGTCAGGTGGAGTTGATGATCAACCATCCTGAACCCCCACTCCTCTGTGAACTTTCAATATTTTAGAATATGGCCCAATCTTAGAATTCATCCTGTTAGAATGTTTTTTTAAAAAAGAGCAGAAATGGGGGGGAAAGAGGAAGCGGAGTTCACCTATTTACAGTGGGTTCTCATTTTTGTAAAAATGAAAAGGGAAACATGCATTCATTTTCTGGAAAAAGATAAAAATCACCAAAGGTTTAATAATAGTGTATGAAAGTCATCGAATGTTTTTTTATTATATTTTTTTTAAATCATAGAGGGTTCTAACAATAGAACTTCAGAATCTTGGAATGTGAGGCGCCTGGAATATTGGAAACTGACAAGGGTGCGTGCTTGCAAAGGCGAGGATATTAATAACAGAAAAAGAGAAGAATCAAAGCTCTAGAATGTTAGAATAGAACATTGCAGCCAGAACTGGGCAGGCCAGGGACAGCAGGATTTGCCTATGTTTGCAATCTAGAATGTCAGGGTAGTTCTAAGAATTCCATATTCCTGCTGGGTGGTGTGGGCAGAATGGGGGCGGTGGTTTGGGACTAGAGACACTCTTTAGTAAAAATGGGGAAACTGAGGCCCAGCTGAGCAGTGAGTGTCCTGACTGCTCCCTGCCCCTGGTTTCCGGCCGCTGCCAGGGCGCCAGGTGGGCAGCGAGACTGCTGATCACATTTCAGCCCTAATGAGCTGGCCGGTCCCCTGGGGTTGCCAGATTGGGGGGGAGGGCAGAGCCCATAGTGGAGGAAAAGAGGGGGAGTAAGGCTAGTGCTTCAGAAACAAAGCGGGTGAGTGGGCTAAGAGATGTGAGGATAAAAGGGAGGGCTCCATTGCTTCTTCCCTTTCTTTTTTCAAATCCTCCATGTTTTTGGGCCTTGCTGGATTTGGGAGATACCTGGTGGGGGTAGGGGTTTAATCCAGCTGAGGCCTGTAGGGAGTTAGGGTCAAATCAGTCTTTCCACCCCTCCCCCCAACATATTGCACCGTGCTTGGACTTGTTTCTCCAAAATCAGGAGAGGAGGGCGTAAGATTTGCAGGTGTGCCTCACCAACAAAGTCTAAAGGAAATAACATTGATCTCACTTGGGGCTCGGCAGCTGATGATGGGTCATTCTGTGTGTGTGTGTGTGTGTGTGTGTGTGTGTGTGTGTGTGGTGTATAGGCACATGTGTACTGTGTACAGAAGCTGGAAGAAGACTGATTTTCTTTCCTTCCTTCTTCTCTGCTCTTTTTTTTTTTTTTCAAGTTCAGCAAATTATCATGGTTTATTTAAAAGGTTGTTCCTATATCAGATTGTGTTTTTTTGTTTTGTTTTGTTTTTGTCCTTTTGAGACAAGGTCTCCCTGCCTCTGCCTCCCAAATGCTGGGATTAAAGGCAGCGCCATCATGCCCCACTTTGTTCTTTATTTTTCTTTAAAAAAAAAAAAAGTATTTATTACTTTTTATCTGAGTGTATTGTTTGCATGTATGTAAGTGCACCTGTGTCATGCAATAATACCCACGGAGGTCAGAAGAACACACTGAATTCCCCTGGAACTGGAATTATGGATGGTTGTTAGTTGCCATGTGAGTACTGAGAATCAAATCCATGTCCTCTGCAAGAGCAGCCAGCACTCTTAACCACTGAACCATCTCTCCAGCTCTTCTTTTTTCTTTTTCTTTTCTTTTTTTTTTTGTTTACTGGTCTTCTTGAGATATGGTCTCCCTGTAGCCCCAGCTGTCCTGGAACTCACTATGTAGATCAGGCTGGCCTCACAGAGATCTGCCTGCTTCTGCCTCCCAAGTGCTGGGACTAAAGGCGTGCACCACCATGCTCGGCTCTTATTTATTTATTTGTTTGTTTATTTATTATTTATTTATTTTCCCCCTCTTTAAAAAAAAATTATGTGTATGAGTGTGTTGCCTGCACCTGTGTCGTGCAATGCTGTGGAGATCAGAAGAGGGCTCTTAACGGCTGAGCCATCTCTCCAGCGCAGCCCCCCCCTTTTTTTAAGACTTGGTGTTGCTGAACCCGGGGAGCTCCCAGGTTCTACCTATTTCCACCCCTCAACAGTGGGTTACAGGCACACTTGGCCATTCCCAGCTTTTATGTGGGTGTTGTGGATTTGAACTCAAGTCCTTTCTTTCACAGCAAGCTCTCTTAACCACTGAGCCAACCTCTGGGGTTGCTTTTTTTTTTGGTCTTTTTGAGACAGGGTCTCCCTGTAGCCCCAGCTGGCCTGGAACTTGCTATGTAGACGAGGCTGGCCTTTAACTCTCAGAGATCCTCTGGTCTCTGCCTCCCAAGTGCTGGAACTAAAGGCATGCACCACCACGCCCAGCTTGGGGTTGCTTTTTTGGGTCGAG